ATTACAAATCTTGATATTAGACAATTACGGTACTATGGGTGTTATAAAATGAAGACTGGAGTAAAAATTAAAATAATACTTTCATGAGTATATCCAACGCTTACTACAATCCTGAAAGCAGAGCTTGCTAGCCTATACTATAGATAACAAACATAAACATTCACTTGTTAGGTGCCAGACACCTAGGGGACTTATATTTAATCTTCAGCAATACTTTGTAAAATTTGACTTTCAACTATCTTCAGTCTCCAGGTAATAAAATTGAGTCTTTGAAATGACTTTCCTAAGCTTCCATTATTACCTGAAGGAATAAGGCTCAAATGAAGTTCTATGGAGTCTCTTAATAAATTTGATAGTCTCTTAATTAGTTGGAGTCAGAAATAAATACCAGTTCCTACTGCCTTCACAGCCCCACTTCTGCCGTAGCTCCCTAGTCCTCCTTCACATACACACTCAACTTCGTTTCTTCCTTTCTTTGGGTTTCAGTAACACAGTAAATAGTGCACTTACCTACTCTGTACACACTGTTTACTCCCTTCCATAGCAGGTGCTCCTGCAGCTGGCTTCAGAGTTTTCATTGATGTTATTTTAGTTTTCCCTCAAGTTCCCATTGTTCAAATTTAATTATTTTTTCCCAAATGTGGCAGACTCCAAGCAGGTATCTTGTGAAAACAATGACCAGATCCATTTGAGCAATGAAATGTGTGTATATGTAAACTCTACTTGAAATCAGAATTAGTCTCTTCTTTCTGAATATTTTTTAAGATTTGGTCAAAGCTGCTTAATTAATGAATGGGCTGCAAGCTGATGTCAGTAGCTACTAGGGAATGAAGAGTCTTCTCAAGAAAACATTTCAATAAGAGTGTATCTTTCTCATTGGGCAAGGCATATTAAAATGATCAACTATGGCTCTTTTGTCCTTTGGTAAGTCTGGAGAAATTGAAAGTGTAGACAGCGCTTACTTTTAAGTATGAATTAAAAGTCAACATTCTAGCCGACACATAAATTTTCCTCAAACATGAACATCATCCTTCTAATAATAAAACGTAAGAAAAGAAAAAGATGAAGAACTAATTTCCAATAACCACTTAACCATGTACCCACTTATATCAGTCTGAGACTGGTCAGGAAAATAGAGCCACTCTTAGCCCGGCGTTGTGGCAGGCACCTGTAGTCCCAGCTACTGGGAAGCTGAGGCAAGAGAATCACGTAAGCTCAAGAGTTGGGGGTTGCTATGAGCTGTGACGCCATGGCACTCTAC